TATTGAAAAAAAGGTAATAATGTTGTAGATAATTTACTAAAAATAAAAAATAATTTGAAAGGTCCTAGGTAGCAGTCATCACATCATTTTCCTCAGCAATCTACGGTATTGATCATCATATTTTTTTTTACTCATTTTATTTTCAGGTTTTCAGTTTCTAATATGTTACTCAATTCTTATCATTCTGTTTAGTTCATTTAATGCCTCAGTATTACAAGCTAATATGTAAAATATGCATTTTTTTCAAAGTGTACTACTATTCTACTAGTCAAACCCTGTCATATGATACCCATATTGAGGTAGTTTTGAAACAATATTAAATCCGTCATTTTGTCGCTACGGCTATCTTGGATTAACAATGACACAGACTTCATTAAATTGTATTGTCATCAAAACTAACTGTGTGTACCAAATATTAGATTAATCTGTCCACAGGAAGGGGTCAAACTTCAAATACTAAATTTGACCTAAACAAACAGGGCAAGCTAAATAAAACCGTTTAATTAAAAATGAATTATACACAAAAAAAAATTGTTGGATTCAATTATAACTTATGTGATTTATGATTTAGTTTTCTTGGAAACACACAGCATTAAGATATGAATAATATTGTTTTGGACATTCACATGTTTGAAGCAATACAAATTATTGCGAATTTCGTCAACTCTATTTCCAGTGGTTCGCAGAAACGGAATTGCAGGAAAATTAGACCAAGGTTATCGGGTCAACAATATCTCACTTATTACTATTCGAATTCACGATTTTTGAATCGTGACTCGGGCACACGACAAAGTTTTCATCATGTACTGTGTATTCTACATTGTAGATGAATAAAAGATCTAGAAAAAAAGAGCAAATTTACTCAGATGTTATAGTCAAGTTGAAAAGCATCTTTGGCTGCTACAAAGTGTTGCAATGATTAAATGAGTAGAGTTCGGAACCTCTGGTGTGAAATGTATTTGTTTGAAAAAATCTGTTTGAAATCTGTTTTTTCTTTAACCAGCTGTTGCACTCCTACGAACGACAACCCTCAGAAGTCGAAACTTGTGCGAGCTAAGGATTAACAAGGTCTTACCTTTTAACGTATGATTCCTAACACGGAATCACTTTCATTTCACCAGAACAGAGATACTGTCTGTCGTGCGTTTCGCTAACCAACTTTACATCATCAGGTGATGCTAAGACCAATTGATATGGCTTTGTTAATGTATTTATATGTATCTAGACGAATCGTTACCTTACATAATGAGGGTCATTACATTAATTTTTAGTATGTCTTTATTATTGTTTCTAATGTTAAGAATGAAAATTAAAAATAATATCCATGATAATAATTAAATATCTTTTACGAATATTTTTCATTTCGCTAACATAGTTATTTCCTAATGTTATTTGCTACCTGATTCATAGCTAACCTGTTTTCTACGTGTAATTACGTATCAGTGTGAATAGTTAGGAATGGGACCGTTGTCGTCATTCATAAATCTCATTCCACAATTTTCGATTTCTAAACTTTCGAAGACATTGTCATGTACCGGTGTTAACAATTTCGACCATTCCTCACCTATTATGTGTCCGTACTCTATGGCAAATTTGGGCGACACTAGACTTCTCTCTCTGATCTATGAAACCAAATATGTGAAACATGTTTCTTGTAGCGAGCTATTTCAGTACGCAGTATAGTTATAGACTCAACATTTGTAGTTCTTCCAAACGAACCAAAATACACCAACGGATTGGTTAAAAAACTTCAACAAGTATTGGGCAACTCGAAAGACAAGGCGACGGAAAAGGAAAAGACTGGGATTTAGGAAATAAGCTGTGAATATTGCGATAAAAAGTATTGTTGTAGGTCATGCCCGAAAGAAAATAACGCCGGCCGCCGCTGGTAGCCATAAACCAGGCGTGACGTGGCTAAAAGCGCGCAAGTGTTCGATGATTCCCCGCCACCCTGAAAGCAGCGAGAATATTGCTGCTGGTTTCGGAGGAATATTGGCGAAATTTCTACATTCGATTACGATATTTAAAGGCTAGCCACGAGGATATGGAGGCAGTCAAGTGGACGTTACAGTGCGGTACGCGAAGTGATTTAGTAAGGCGATAGACATTCAAAATGATAGTTGAAGTGTTTGTTGTATTTAAAGTGAAGTAAAGTTAAATTTGATTATTCAGTGTAGTCCATTATTGGTGAACCCACGGGAAAAAACGTAACAGTATATTGGTCAAAATAATAATTCACATATGTAAGAAATGGAATTGTTCAAAACTTGATGGAAATCCATATTCCTCAGACGTGTTCATACTGTATAGTGAAACACTTTTTACGATTTTGTAAACTATCCAGTGAAATTTTTGAGGGGTCATATGATACCTGTCAAGAATGTATATGAGCTGTTCAAAAAGTAAGGTGAAAGTTTTGCGGACTACGTACATTCGTACGTAACAACACGGTAATCATGCCTCAGCCACAGTATTCACCAGATTTGCCCCCTGCGACTTTTTCCTGTTCCCAAGATTGAAAGGACCCATGAAATGACGGCGTTTTGTGTGAAGTGAGGAGATGAAAACCGAATCGCTGAGAGAGCTCAAGGACATACCAAAAACTGCATATCAGAACTGCTACAAGGATTGGAAAATATGCTGGCACAAGTGTAATATGTCTAAGAGAAAGTATTTTGAAGTAGACGACAAAATAGAAATTGATGAACAAATTCATATTTTTTAACAGAGTTGTATGATTTCTATATTCCTGTATTCAGTTATAGATGGTGCAAGTGAAAATTTCGAAAAAGTGAAAACTTGAGGGATGTAAGTTGACAAATGTTCTTGTACAGCTCTTATAATAAATTTAGATATTAACTACGGCTGGGATCGTTCTCACGAAATATGTAGAAAAAATGTTTTCGGAAAAGGTAATAAATTCATAAATTCATAAGTTTTGTGAAATTTGTTTTTTATATCAGAGGAATATGAATTGGTGGGTTCATGGGACAGTAAACATAAGATCAACTGCCTACCCTATAAATAAGATTCTAGGTACACTCGATCCTACGTTTACCGCCCCATAAACCAAATAATTTGGACTACGATATTTCTAATAGAAAAACCAACTAACACCTATTCTGATTAAAACGAAAATGAACCCAAATTGAGTATTTCAAAAAGACCTTTGAATAAAACTATACAAATCTGCAAATTTTTTAGACCGTTTGATAGAATATTAAACTATCTGCTCCACGATAATTATATTCAAGTGACCATCTCTAAATTCAATATGGTGGCAGTGTAACGTCATCTATGGAAATATTGTCAAAGAACTTGATGTAGTGAGAAACAAAATACGGTGTTTGCTTAGTTTTTAGAAACAAATTCAAGAATTTAAGTTTTTCAGCAATCTATTATTATTTTTAATTCCACTTTTGGTTTGATTCATCTCGAAAGTCTTAATAGGGAGTGGTATACTTTAAACTTTGACATCAAAGCGTATCCCTTGTACTACAAAAAAAATGGCCAAATATAGTATGGGGTTCAGTTTTCTGTGCCAGTGACAAAGGTCCTTTTTTCGACAATACCTACTGTATAATATGAACTGCCGAGCTTTAAAACTTGCACTTTTTCACTGGCTCGTTGACATCTTCTGAAATACAAGAGGATCACTTCAATGCTATAGTTTTTAAAAAATATATGAAAAGTACATCAATTAGTGAAAAATTGCAATTCTTGGATTTTCATTTTAAAATTGAGCAAACTAAAATTCAGTAGAAACTTGTACGTGCTAAGGTTTAACGAGGTCTCACCTTTTAATGTACGATTCAATAGATGACGTTATAGTGCCGCTATATTGAAATAGGTCTATTAAACATATAGCCTCGCGATTCTTCTTGTGGGTAATGATGATTTGGCTTTCTAATTCTCCATCATTTTACAAAAAATGTGGAAAACGACCTAAGGAAGACAGAACGCAATTGAGTTCAGAATAAAATATTTACAAAGATGTGTAGTTCATGCATAGAAGTTACTTTCAGATACAAACTGGAAGAAAAAAGTTGTCTTAAAATAACTACTTGAATTACATATTGAATTACACTAAAGAAAAATTACTTTTGAAAAAACTACTTTCATTGCTGATGTATCCTACGACTGATTTCTGATTCAATTTATTAAGGAATATTTAGACTTCAAACTGAATAGGATCAAGTGATTTTCCTATAACTCAATGTTCATGTCCAGTAGTTGTTTCGAAATTATTTTTTCTTTCATTTGAATAAATACTCATGTAAAACTAGTTGTTTTAAGAGGGCTTTTTTCAGTTTGTATCTGAAAGTAACTTCTATGCAAGATGTGAAGAGTTCATTTGAAACTTAATTGCTTTCTTCCTTTCTTTGGAAATTTCCCATATTTTTTTTTGTATGAAGATGGGGAAGCCTCTTCTGAAATATTACTCAGATATGTTTGTTCACTGAAAATCTCTCAATGAAGTATTGCTTTAATTACTCAGATATTTGGAGCTGCGCCTCTAAGCATATTCTGGAGCTGTTCGACTTAATCCAGAAAAAAAATCATACGGTGGATTGGAGACTTGAATATCACAAGCAAGCTTGATAGTCAAACACATCGTGTGCAAGTAAAGTACTTGTCTCTTTTCTATAGAAACTTTCAGCATCTAGAGATTTCGAATGACTTAGTCCCTTTGATTCCATCGAGAGCTACGTATGTCAAACGTATGCAGAAAACTAATGCCCGTCAACTTCAAAGTTCAACACTTAGTAGGTATACTTCAAACCGCTCTTTTTGATAACTATTTGTTATACGGTGGCCTTGTGGAAGAAATTTCCCGAGAGGGTTTTTCCAGATGAATATGATCTACAGAGATTGAAATCCAAATTAAATCGCCATTTTTGTACAGACATCGCTCTCAGAACGTCTTAAGGATTGTCCTGCACTGCTTGTGCATCCTCACAAAAACATCAAACAGCTATAGCAAAAATATTTCAACTCACCCTCGAGCAAAACCTACAGAACGATGAATATCGGATAATTTTCATCTATGCAAGTAAAGAAAACAACCGAACCGAAAGCGTGGAAATTGTGGAAACTTTCACAACAAACTGACCAGTTGACCCTTATGAAAAGGCGACCTGCGCCCTGACCCGTGAAACACATGGATGTTGCGTGTCCCAACCATCTTTAATTATTAACAAACAATTTGAAGTCGATTAAATACCCATTCGATGGAAAAAATTTCAAAATATAAGGATACTGATGTGACTCACAAAAGTTTAGAATCGTTTTTGATCTTATAATTCAATGGTGTAAAATTAAATATGTTCTTGAAAAAAATGAATTCTAGCGAATTTGTGGAAAAATTATTGTTGAAGTACCTACTAGTGTAGGTACTTCAACAAGATAGAGCTGAATTATAATAAATTTTTGGTATATTCAATTGGTATGTAGGTCAGAAACTAGGTTTCGTTAGTATATAGAATATTTTTTGTCCAAACACTTTCAAAGATACATTAATTTAATAAAACACAAAATAAGGTCATATTGTTTTGTTTATTCTCCCTGTCAGACGAGGAAGTCAGTTTCATTACACATTCATTGAACAAATGATCCCAATAGTGGTTATTTTAAAAAAAATTATTTCTCTTGAGTCAAAAATCAGTCAATAAGAAATAAAAAAACACTTGAAAGAATAGGTATATGATGAAATTCAGCATTGAATATGAACACGAAAGTACTGGGCCTGCACTCTAGAATTGGTTGATATATTACAGGCCATACAGTACAGTAGCAACGTGAGTGCAAACTTCAGAATGGCCTGCCATGCAGGTACAATGAGCTGAAATTATTGCACCATATTTCTCGAATATAATCCAGACTTGCAGTGGGGGATTGTTCATCCTCTGTGAATGCTTGACCTAAAATTAAGATACATATTCAGAGAAAATTATGAATAAATCAAGTTTGAAAAATATCTAAATACCTTGGCAATCCCAACAATGTACTCTCCGATTGACTTTGCTTCACAATCATGTACAAATCCAGCTTCAAAATATTTGTAGCCAGGTCAAACTTTTGTAGGCCTTCATCTGCTGATTTGTATAGAAACTATGAGTTAGCACCAGATAAGAACTCATATCGAAAACAGTAACTGGTGGAAAACATTCTATAGAACTGTTCATTTCTTCTTAAGTGAAAGTAAAAGAATCCATGCACTGTATCACTCTGATTTTATCTTTGTAATGCACAGCAATGTCTTTTTTTTCACGTTCCAATGTTAGTAAATAATCACTTTTTTCTACACCCGTACTCTAACAATACACTTATCTTCCACTTTGAGGATTTTCCATTTTTTTTAATGATTGATGATATATTTCTTGCCAGCTCATCTTAAGTCGTGAGGGCAGAACCTTGGAAGGGTCAATATTTTTTCTGGGTTCCGGAAAGAAACTCAGGATAAAAACGTTTTTCTGAGAAGGTCTAACATCCTGCACCTTTCCGGGTTCAAGGACGAACACATTCTTAACCTCAAGTTTATAATGAATAAAACGCTAGATAATGAAAATATTAATCAGTGTATGAGAAAACACCGTTATATATTTTCCATTGATAATGAAACATGTGCAAAGGGATAAGAAAAAAGCTAATAGCAGATAAGTAAAAGTCAATATGATCCTATAGGGACGCTCGAGGTGGTACACCTCACTCTTCCATCGATCGTCCAGAACTAGGCAATATGTATATTTCCCTCCAAGCAATCAGTCTCTGATCAGTCTGACAGAAATTATATTTATATAGATAGGTAATAATGTGAATAAAACCAAGAAGACAACGGAAAATAATAAGCCGAATTATTTAAGTAAATAAAGTCAGTTGTATTAAGTTAACTTATCATCAAACACAAAACCAATCTTGTTTCTGACTGACAGACACAAACTCAGTCCACGAAATGAAAACGAATAAAGTAAATTGCAATAAATGGAGTTGAGAGAAAAAGCCCAAATCAATAAATTGAGGATGTAAAGTTGCGAGATAGAGAGATCTTACAATCATTTGATGTAGGTATCCTCGTTCTTTCCGAGTGTCTGTAAACCAAAAACTATTGAGAATTTGAGGGATATTCTGAGGGTCGATGTTCTCAGTGGGGAGGTAGTCGATTACATACAAATAACAAACATCTGCAACGAACATAATGTCTTCCAGTTCAACAACTACTGTTGGGTACCAATTTTGGTTTTTGGGCTTGCTGGCCCCTTTCTAGAGGTAAGGAAAACAGGACACACGCTATTGGTTCCCGAAGGTAGGTAGGTAGCCCTTGACAACCAGACAATTACACAGTGGCGTAACAGTGTTTAAGGCAACTCATTTTAAATTTTATTTACATTCCCAACAACTACTTCTACCGACAACACGAAGGCACGGCAATGGAAAACCCAATGTCCTCCTGTATAGTTAATCTGTTAATGAACATTTTCTGATTGATTCGGCCGTTACTTGATAAAGTGAAACATGTCGTGATATATTTTTCGAATAAAGTTTGTGGAGATCAAATCGTGAGGTGTAGTTTATGAAAAAAAAAATCCTGAGCAGATTTGAGTAGGAAGCAAGAGATAACATTTTTGAAATTTTTAACACAAAGAAATCTAAGGTGGAGGACTTTGTTTCAACTCTCAACAACGGATCTCCGAACATCAAGTTCACATATGGAAATGAAAACAAAGAGGAGTTACCATTCATAAGATGTCTTGGTAATCAGAATTTGATGTTGAGAGGAAGAATAACAATAATTTTAGATATATTCCTGATAGCTCACATCATTATTCAGAACACATAATGGCAGGACTGAACTTTCTTGTCCCGTTTCTTATCTTGTCCCCCTTGATGGAAAAAAGATACTACATTGAGAAAAATGTCATCAGGGACATAACTAAAAGCAACGAGTATCCTTCAAATATAGTCGATAAATTGAATAGAAAACTTTTCGAAAATATATGAATTCAAAGTTCATTATCCTGCCGTATGAACCAAGATNATTTTCATTTTCAACTTTTTGCGTTCAACGAAATCGCCTCAGAGATTTATTACATAGAAAATTTTTTGCCAAAAAAATTATCAGCTATAATATCCCAAGGACATTGATAACTAACGAAATAATTTTATCACAGTTTTCGAAAGCACGTTATTTGGTAAACGCCTGATTTTCCGGTGAGAAGTGCTTGAAGTGCTTGAAAAGATAGTAGTCGGTTGACGAGAGGTCTGGAGAGTATAGTGGATGAGGCAGAACTTTAACGCTCAATTCGTTTAATTGTCTGACGGTAATTTGTAAAATGTGCGGACGGGAGTTGTCGCTTAGCAGGATCGGACCTCTTCTGTTGACTGGTGCCTCTTGCTGCTGACGCAATTTTCGGTACATTTCGTCTATTTCCTCACAAAAGGACTTGGCTGGTTGCAGAAATGTATAGTGAATCACAGTAACCGCTGACCACCATGCAGTAACTATGGTCTTTTTTGTGGGTTTTCGCCCTTTGCCTGGGTGGCTCATCGGTGTCGAACCACTGTTCTGTCCATTACACGCGACGATCCGTTGTTGCACGCTTTGCTTAATACTAAAGTTTGGGCATGGGCATAACAATGCGTAAAAAGACCATGAGGAGCTATGGACTTTATTTTAGTTTGTAAACCATTTAAATGGCCGGCCATGACCGCAGCCTCATCATAGGTTTGCGCAATTAACTTTTGCCTAAAATTATAGGTGTCACACGTACGAATTAAAAAATT